AAAAAAAAAAAAAAAAAAAAAAACTTGGATAAAATTATCGAGACATGAAAGATATAAAAACATAGAACCTGCCTGAAGACTTTCGGATGAGATCTCGGTGGCTTTTATTGCAGAAGTTTTTGCAGATAAAGGATCGGCTTGATGATCAAGCCTCGGTGACCGAAACTCTTTCTCATCACAATTTCTCTTATCCTGAAGAATGACAGTTGCATTTTTTTGTTGTTTCGCTAATTTATCTCGCAGTAATTTGTTTTCCTTCGTGCACGAGATTAACTGCATCAAAAATCAATTCATTCAGTTTTACACATATCATATGTACTAACATGAACATCAGGCTTTCCCAGTTCTGGCCATACTTTTAGCAACTTAACTGCAAAAAATTAATAATTTAGTCTAATCACCGGAAAGCCCACTTACCTCCCAAAATTACAAATACCTCTCAAAAGATTGTATTTTGTAAGGTACTTAGAGAGAAACAAACAAGGCCCAAAAAAAAAAAAAAAAGAGCACCTTAGTCTGAACACGTTCCCTCTCAATCGCAATCTGCAAAGCCATCTCCATTATCTGATCGCTCCTAACACCAATCTCCTTCGCATGTGATTTTTTCTCAAGAGCGGCTTGGCTCAAAGCATTCTCCAATAACTCGACTCGGGACCTCATAAACTCCAGTTCCTTACTAATATCTAAATTTGTCTCGGATAAAATGACGCATCTATCCTCGGCACTCTCGGCTTTTCCCTCCGCCTTAGCCACCTTCTGCTTCAGCTCGTCTATCAAAGTCTCCATGTCCCAAATCGCCGTGTACAGCATGTTTTGCTGCTCTTGACTAGCTTCCGATAATGCCCTCGAGTGCTGAAGCTGAATATCTAACTCCCTTAGCTCCTTTTCCAACATGCTCGATTTTTTCGAGTTGCTGTCATTTGTGCCCTTGAGGAAATCGAGCTCCTCTGATAGCTCGAGGTTCGAGTCTGTCAAGTGGGAGGCTTTTTCCTCCGCGATCTTTGCTCGAGTCTCAGCCTCGTTTGTTTTCTCTCTCAAGGCCTCGATTTCAATTTCTCTCTCTATAAGCTGTTTTTGACTCATCTCATTTACTGTCTCTACCTCCTCGAGCCTCGACTCAGTTTTTTTCAGTTTTTCCTCGAGATATCTAACCTTTTGTCTTAAATCTTCTATTTTGGCATTATCGGCTGCGAGACTCGAGATGGTGGTGTTGAGATTCTCGATTAACAAGTCTTTTGCATGCAATTGATTTACAATGTCTTGAAGTTGATGGGTTTTTTCCCGTTCGCTTTTGGTTGCCCGGTCAAGCTCGGCTTGCGCCAGCTGGAGCTTCCGGAGCGTGTCTTTCGAGATTCCGGAGAGTACTTCAGCCATGCTGTCGGCTTCTAGAAAGCGAGCCCAAGTGACCTCAGCAGCCTCTTCCATGAAGGACGCGACTTGTTCCACAAGTCGTATTTTTTGTTTGAAATCATTTTCGTTTCGTTTGAGCTCTTTTAAGTTCTTCTCGAGCTCAATCTCTCGCGAGAGAGATTTTTCGAGCATCTTGAGGAGACCCTTTTGTTTGGTTGTCTTTAGAAGAACATTGCTCCCTGTCAACAAGCTACCTTAGTTATACAACGCAAATCAATCAGAAAAAAGTTCATATTTTACGTATTATTGAAAATACACAGAACAATCGGACTTACAATCATGCTCCCCAGAAGAAAAAGAACTCATCCGCAACTTGGCCAGACGAGCTTTCATCTCGAAAACACGATCTCTAGAATGTTCAAGCAACACTTCACCATCGTGCAGCCCATTCACCACGGCATTTACCAACTCAGTTGAATTATCGAAAGGCAGTATCTTTCTAAGGCCATCAACGATAAGTTCTTGAAGGCCACCAAACAAAACATCAAACTCACCCAGCTCAAACTTTATTATTGCACTAATTAGATCGAAAGTGAAGGTCCACTCGATTAGTTCTTCTGATATGACGTCTATTTCGAAGCCGTTTGCTCCGATGTGATTGTAATTAGCCTCTTCCAAGATGCGTGATAAAAGGTTCTCCAAATGAGATAGCTTATCTGAACAGCTGGCGAGGATCGTTCCCACCTTGGACAACACTTCATGGGCTTCGTGCAGTTGTTTTTCCATGTCTAAGTCATTTGCCTCCATTTCTAAGTTGCCCCTGATTGATTAGAAGCATTAACACCTAGGCAAATTACTACCACAAGCTTACTATGACATTTCTCAATTAGTTACGAGTCAACTACAGAGAAAAAAAAAAAGCATTAAAGTGCTTGAAGAAAATTGCACAACAGAAGGTGCAAATGCATATAAGCAATGCATTATAACCAAAGCTAAAGACAACCACAATTCAACTCAGTAAGATTAGCATTAGGTCATTGGTTCACTTTGAGGAACAAATACAAGACGATAAAGCAGAGCAAAAAAACAACAACAATTCAACTCAAAAAATCATTGTATCCATGTATGTCACCTGGAATTTCCAACTCCAACTAATTATTCAGGCATGAAAACACAATATCCAGTAGAATTATAATGTTCAACAAACATTCCATGAGAATTCAAGACTATATTAACCAATATTCAGTAGTAATGAAGCTAAAACCAATTAGACCCAAACCCATCTAAAAAAAACATCAAACAACACAAAGAATCACCTCAGCCAAGCAAATCTCCAGTCTTTCTAACAAAAACTGATAAACTATATGTCAATCTCAAGTAAAGTCAAAATCTTGGCCCAATTCAAGCAAAACCCATATTTACACCAAAACAAAATCTTGTCATAACAGAGTTTAAAGAACCAAGAAAAGGCTACCAAAAACACACATACCTGGGAAAAGAAGAGAAAAAAAGATCCAAACTTTTTCCCCTTCTTCTTGAATTTACCAAACCATGGGTTTTAGTTACTCACCAAACAAGCCCTTATCTCATTACACCATTAACTCCAATAGCTGAAAGTTGAGCTTTCAAGAACAGATTTTTTTTCGATCGAACAACGATAAATGCCAACGTTAACCTCTGCACAGTTGTTGTAAAAACATAAAGGGTCGATTTCAGGGGTAGCTGGATGATGGGTTTTTCATATAATATTCTTTTTTCTTTTTTACTTGGATGATCCTTCATGTGGTTGTGTTAATTGGATAGTGATTTTTTTTTTTTTTTTTTCACCATTTAATAAATACCAAGATTGGGATTTGTATCATATATTTATTACACTTAATATAAATCAATAATTGCTATGCAAATTTTGATACTTTTTTACTAAACAAATATATTTATTATATCTGGGAAATGCTACGGTTACATTATGGTACCATCTCGTCGGGTGTTTTAACCGTAAGATCCACGTGTAGTTAGATAAAATAGATGATCCAACGATTAAACCACCCGACGGGATGGTACCGTAACGGGACCGTAGTATTTTCTTATCTATATCATATGTCATACTTTTATTTATATTAAAGTTTTAAAAATATAATTTAAGTTAATAATATATAAATGAATTGAAACAGTATAACTCAACCGTTAAGCAACCTCACCAAATAATTATGAAAAAATATTAGTGGTAAGTGGTAACTAAAGAGTCTAACAAAACGTAAGCAAAATAATAAGTTTATTGAAACCAAACGACATACACACGACAATGTACCAAATGTGGATATTAGTAAGCTCTTCTAGGGCATGCCATTTTTTCTCTTATTCAATTTTTTTAAAAAATAAAAATAAAAATAAATGCTGAAATACAAATTTTTTTCAACAAAATATATATTCCCACCATTTTTGTTTAAATATTATTTAAACTATATTTTTTTATAATTTATTTATCATTTCAAATTATTATTCTACTTATATCTAAACACTTAGATTGCAATTGAATAAATATTTTTTTTTTGTTTTATTTGAGATTAAAAAATGAAATAAAAACAATTACAAAGTTACTATTGATTTTATCTCACTTTTTATTTACAAATCTCACTAACACGTTTAATAATAATAATAATAATAATAATAATAATAATAATAATAATAATAATAACTCAAATATTTATAACTATCGGTTTTATCGATTAATATTTTATTATTTTTATATCATATTAATCTTAATCATTATATTTCTTCTCATGACTATTTAATTTTAAATTCATCTCACTTTATTGAAACGTGATTTTTCCTCTTTTTATACATTTTTAACCCAAAAAAAAAAAATTATTTTTTTTTTTCGGAAAAATATCTTATATCAAATGCAACTCTAAAATATTTACTCTTGTAGTAGCTTTGCAAAATGATATAGCTCTATGGTGATATGGTCTACTATAGGAGCAGAAAGTTGAGCTGGTTGGGCTATTGGCATATGGACCAAAAAATGGGCCAATCAATTGGGCATCTCTATTAACTTACACTGGACCATCTACTCATGAAAAAAACAATTGAATTGGAGGTCCAACTAGCACAAAAATAAAGTTTAGAAATTATATTCAAAGTAAATCATATTAATGGCCAAACATTAAGTATATGCATATAATTGCGATAAATTCGATGCTACATGTGGGGCATTGCCCCCACATACTTTTTCACCTTTGATCTTACACACACTCATGTAGGTGTGTGTGATTGTGTGCAAATCAAGAGTGAAAAAACATGTGGGGACACTTCCCCACTTGTAGCATCGAACCTACCTATAACTGCATGTAATGATTCATAACTACCCTAATATCTATTTATTACATGTGATTTATCAAATATTGAAGTTTTTTTTTCCTTAAAAAGCTGATTTATTGGTAAAAAAAAGATATAAACAAATTAAAAACACATAATATCTAAGAAAAACAGAAACTGTAGAAAGTCTATATACCTAGTTTATATGAACTTTGGTCTATAATCACAAGAACACAAAATCACACAAATTAATAATAAGTAGGGCTAGCAACACGCCGGATCTTCAAAGGTTGATCTCCGTTGAAAATCGAAATAAGTCACTATACTTATCGAGATAGTACAAGAATACCAAAGCATACCGATTTCACATTATTCTATGTATGTATATATATATGTATGTATGTATGCATGTACGCGGTATTAGTCCTAGGTCTAAATTAATAACCTAGTTATTTGTTTTTCTGATGACATACTACATAATCAAAATTCTTATATCGACAAAACATTTTATGTGACACAGTCAACCATTAGGTGGGTCATCTCGTCATACCTTTGTTATAAATTAATGCATACATTTATTATGAAATGCATACTTAATAACTTGTGTTATGGAATGTTATACTTTTGTTTGTATGTGTTGTTTTTTTGAAGTGTGATATTATAATTTGAAAGTACTGGTTGCACGTCTATTGAAAAAATATGATTGTTTAAATGTTTGATCTATCAGACAATAGCTTTACTGTTTATTCATACACATATAAATGCATGTTCATCAATATATCGAGCTAACATGCCTTTTATGTTAGCATAACGATCAGTTTGTTCGTACAATCGTAATCGATATTAATGTTCTCAATGTAAAATATGAATCTTCTAAGATTCTATGATCTAACTCGTGAATTTTTTTTAGACACTTTCATTCCCCCAAACTTGAGCATTCAACTTTGGAGTATTAAAAGCCATTTGCAGGTCATGAAAATTATTAGAGCACTATGTGCTTTACATGCAAGTTAAATGTTCGGTTTTGCTGTGAAGCAAACAGTTGGCTCCATAGTGGAGCCAACCTTCTATATACAACAAGTAAACCTACCATATTCACTGATTACTTAAATAACACTAATATAATTTTATTAATGTGGTAGGTTTACTTGTTGTATATAGAAGGTTGTCTCCATTATGGATCCAACAATTGGTTTCATAGCAAACCGGTTAAATGTTGGCTCGAATGTTCAACATTTTAGTAAAAAAGAAAAAAAAAAAAGATTTATGAAAAGAAATCATCATATTTAAAACCTTGATGGCTAATTAAAATTCCTTAATCCGGGGTTAATTAGCTTAAAAATTGTATTATTATATATATACTATTAATTATAAGAGTGTCACGCGTGAGAACCTAGTCTCAATAATTGTACGTACGAGATCTTTATGTTCTTTTTAATCAATGCATAACATATCTAACGTGCGGGACAAAGAATCACCACTTCATTCTTTTATTTCATGATGATGTGAAACGTAAAACAATACCAAGTATTATTTTCTTTACAACATAATTTTCGAACTAGTATTCAATCATGTGTATATACACCGATCTAATTAATTAATACCAGTCATATATGCATACATAAATATTTAAAATCACAAATTATTAACATGAATATCATATTCAATAAATTTGATAATTAGTCAAAGCGAATTTGTATTTGAATTTAATTCCTATATAAATCGCATAAAATGCAAAGAATAGGTAAACTTTTACAAATTTCAAGGATTGTTACCAATTAATTAGTTGAGAAAAAAATAAATTATTATTATTATTATTGTTAGATATTTTGTTTGAATTTAATGTTAGATATTTTTCCATCAAATGTCTAATATGTTGTTTGAACAATGTTAGAATATATTTTATATATATGGTTATAATATATTTTGTATATATAT